TAACGTGACATCCAAAAATTTCATCACTATTGTGGGAGAACAATGCATTCTTCGTCTCCAGGAAGATCTTCTATCCCTTCATGCAGTGGCATTGTCTGAACCTTCTCAATGAAGCTGAGTAATGTTTCAAGGCTTTTCTCATCTGCACGAATTTAAAAGAAAGGAAACATTAATGCATTGAATGATTCATCTTTTGTACACGAGCATTTGGAAAGAACTTATGCACAGACAGAGTGGAAGTTGTTCACGGGAATAGAACCAGAAAACCTTATACTCCCACTCCCTCCAACGGCATGTAGAATTTATGTAAAAAAGCTTGTCCAAATTTTTAGGTTGCTAATAGATTGTATCATATCAAAGTTCAAGTCCCATCTAATTTATTTCGTGTTAAAATTTAGGATAAATTATATTCACCTCCTTTAATGTTTGGCCAAATAACAATTAAACCCCCCTCTTGTTAAGGAAATAACAGTGACCTCTGCTGTCACTAAAGTCTATCCCTTTTTTATAACGACAAACATGAAATAACTGTAATATCCCCCATGATAACTATCGAATGACAAAAATACCCTCTCTAGGAAATGTTGCTTGCTTTGGAGGAGTTTTAGAGGACTTTTGAACAAAAAAAAATTTGTGAAAAATCAATGATCATCGTCTCCGATGCGATATCCAAGCCACCAAATAACCACGAGAAGCACCACCCCCAACAAGCACAACCCATCTTCTTGGACAAATCATGTCGATATATACATATATTTTTTTTTTAGTCAACATGATGCCTATTTGTAGTTTGTTGGGTTCTACGTCTTTGTGTGTGTGTGTGTGTGTGAGAGAGAGAGAGAGAGAGAGGACACTTCACTGGAGCAATCCCCCTTCCAATCGCCTTCGCTTCTTCATCACTCAACCCAATCCAGCCGCATCAATTACCAGAGACCCCAACCCATTTCAATGAACACTCATTCTAATGTCCATTTTTCTCTCTAAAAATTCCATTTTCTCCGTCCAACAGTCACTACCCAAAAAGTCCCAATAGATAGCCAGAAGCCTACAATAGCTTCTGCAATTCTGTCTCCTACCCCCAAAGACAAAAAGCTATCTAACCACAACTCACATACTCACATTGACCAACACACACAAATTTAAATGACATGGAACCAACACCTACTGATAATGCACAAAAATGATTTTACACACCACCTGTCAAGTGTAAATAATAAATACAATGAAATCAATGAAAAAATTAAGAAGACACAATCTATAGTGGTTCGGTCAATTCGACCTACGTCCACTCTTCAATGGCTTCAGTTGCCGGGTATTTTATTGATTCAAAGGTATGGAGAATGGAGATACAAGCTTTGAGAGGGAAAATGGAGAATTAAAGAAAATAGTAATCTCCGGTAGTCGGTTCGTCTTCTGTGTGTCTCTGATGGAGCATGTGTCCCCCCTTTCTACTAGCTTGGAGGCTATTTTATATCAGCTAAGAGATCATTCTTGTGGAGATCATGACATATCCTCAAGGCTTCTTTATCGCAGCTAAGAGATTATTCTTGGTGGAGANATCACTACCCAAAAAGCCCCAATAGATAGCCAGAAGCCTACAATAGCTTCTGCGATTCTGTCTCCTACCCCCAAAGACAAAAAGCTATCTAACCACAACTCACATACTCACATTGACCAACACACACAAATCTAAATGACATGGAACCAACACTTACATTGACCCAAAATGGTTTTGAATCTGTGAATTGCTGAAATAATTAGTTTGAGTGGAGGAGAAATCAATCTGTGCATATGTATGTTGACGATAGAGAATAAAAGGAACTAGGCGGGTATTCACTTGCTCAAATCAAGTAAGAAATAAATGAAAAAATTGGCTCCAAAGTGACCATATTGAGATGTGAAAATAAAGTTTGTACAATGTGGGATTTGACATCAATCCCACATTGGTTGAAAAAAAAATTCAACATGGGCATATATAGGCCAAGTTTGCTCTATGGGATTGGACCCCAAGGGGTATCACAATTTTATGAGCAGAGCGAGTACCTATATGCCTTCGGTTCGCGTTGCTTGGGCTTGGGCTTGGGCTCGGGCTCGGATGTGGTTTCAACCAAACCCTATCTTTTTAAAGAAAATTCATTTAATTAATTGGGCATAAATTTTTTAACCTGAAATTTATTTTCGGTATCCATTGGATCGCACTGGGTCGGATTTTTGCTTCCTTCTAGTCTGAAAATTCGGATTGTGCATGTTCATACAGAACAGTTGAAACAATGGTGTCTCCTGGCTGTTGTGTCTTTTAGTACGGTGACTTTCCGAAAAGTCACCAAACTGTCTATAAATACCCAGTTCATGCATGCATTTATATTATGCAATTCATTTGTTCAGTCTATTTTCAGCATTAAGGCAAACATTAGTGCATTATAGTCTGCATATCGGCATTAAGACAGTGTCTTGGAGAGTACACAATACAAGTTTTGGTTCGCTGGACGAGTAGATTGGAGTGCTACTTTTGCTCGTGTAAAGATCATTGTATTCTAGGAGGCAGACACTCGATATTCCATAAGTACCTTGTGCGGGGGCCAAATCTGTCTTAAAGACATAGTGTCAAACACTAGCCTTAATCTACATCAACTTCAATAACAGTTCCTGTGCTGCAACTGAGTTAGTATTTATTTGGGTTTGACAAACAGCTACGTGTAACTGTTTGCTGTTACTATTACGTTAGACTGCTATAACTCTTTCTTGTAACTCTTTTGTGTAACTCTTTCGTATAAGACTGTTTTTGTGTAACTGTTCCGCACTTTACTGTTACTGCTTTGTTTTATTTTAAGTTACATAATATCAAAAATTTCAATAAATGATTTTACAATATTTAGAATACCCCACAAACAACGACATTGACCCAAAATGGTTTTGAATTTGTGAATTGCTTAAATAATTAGTTTGAGTGGAGGAGAAATCAATCTTTGCATATGTATGTTGAAGATAGAGAATAAAAGGAACTAGGCAGGTGGTGGATACAATGGGTGATAGGTGATTGTATATGCTAATTTGTATGTGTGTACATGTGGGCATCTGTGTCTGTGTGAATTTCTACTCCGGGGTGAGAATGATATATATATACACCATATATGTCGGACTCTCTGAGTTTCTAAAATGAAATAGAAAGAAGAAGACAAATAGAGAAAGAGGGGTATGGTATACTTACTGAGTTGGTCTAGATAAAGATTGTAATCCTTTCCTTGAGGTGTGGTCAAAATTTTGTGCTATATATGCACTTGGGCATAGAAGGGTAATATTGGAATATTTAAAAAAATGTTGCTTACGTCATTAAAAATTTTGCGTCTCCTTTAACGGCAAACTAACAGGAAAGGAATCAATTATGGACTAACAAGAGGAGTCCAGTTGTTATTTGACCAAACCTCAAGAAAAATGAATGTAATTTACCCTAAAATTTATTTAACACATCCTCAATCTATTTGTAGTGGTGAACAATCATAATAACCAGAATTTGACCAATTTGCTTTACTTGATTGTAGAAACATTTCTAATAAATCATACTACCAAGAAATAATAGATCAATTTCAAATGAAAAGCCTAGTACTGATTGCAACAGCAAGGCACCTCCTAATTCTATGTATGGTATACCTTACATGTGTGTTGATGATACATAAAAGTGGGTTTATACACCACTTGTCGAGTAATTAATATATGTAATAAATGCAGTAAATATAAAGATGAGATCAGCACAAGCAACATACAGATATATAGTGGTTCGATTAGAGTGATCTACTCTACTTTGAAGATGGCAACGGTGGGCGAAGACCTTTATTGATAAAGTAGATGATATGACATAGAGCACGAGCAAGCTCTAGGTGTGGTGAGGTAGCTATATGAGAGAGATAGATGTGTTCCTCATGTGTAGAGGACTTGCAATTTATAGGCAAAAAGCCCTAGTTGAAATAGTGGCGTGAGGGATATGTTACTAGTCCTTCGAGGACGATAGCTACAGCTAAACATATGTACAATTAAAAATAGGTTTGATCTTCGAGTAGTGGTTATACCGGTATTTACTCTCCACGTGCGCTGACTTCTTGGGTCTCTTGAATTCTGCACTGGACCGAGGCCATGTGCTAGACTTGACCTATCTTCTAATTGATTTGGACTTACCTCATGAATTGGGCTTTGAGCTAGCTAGATATGGGCTCATTATTTGCCCCTCATGCCCCAAGCCCCAATTGTGACAAAAGGGGTTGAGGTTATGAGTGAGCATTTTCATCTAGACATGCAAAAGGTTTCTTGTTCTGCACGGTGGTAGCTTCCTCAACTTCTTGCACCTTCACTTTTTCATTTTCTGAGCTTTATCGCGGGATACCCACTGTATAGCCATCAGGTTAGAGGAAACTTTACCTCTTCACATTGAAAACCCCTTTCCNCGGGATACCCACTGTATAGCCATCAGGTTAGAGGAAACTTTACCTCTTCACATTGAAAACCCCTTTCCTTCATTTAGGGCATCATTCTTAGTACCCTATTGATCAGTACGTATAACCCAGAAAACAATTATTCATGCTTGCATTTTTTTTTTATTATCTCTTGGATTGGAGCTAAATACCTCTTTTCTCTTCATTCTTGTAGACTACTGGACAAGAGACTCACCCAGGAAGGTGGAGCATGGAGACCAGAGGAAGATTAATTGAAACGATCGAAGTCGTAGGTGACCACACAACGGAATCTCAATGAATACCATTTGCCATAGCGGTCCTTGTCTTAGGTGTGGCGAGACCTAGCTTTGGCAACGCCATGGCAATGCCATGGCGGAGCCCAAGGGGATGCCAAGCTATGTGGGCGAGGGCAGCGCCAGGGGAGGTGATCTCGGCGATGCNAACGATCGAAGTCGTAGGTGACCACACAACGGAATCTCAATGAATACCATGTGCCATAGCGGTCCTTGCCTTAGGTGTGGCGAGACCTAGCTTTGGCAACGCCATGGCAATGCCATGGCGGAGCCCAAGGGGATGCCAAGCTATGTGGGCGAGGGCGGCGCCAGGGGAGGTGATCTCGGCGATGCTAAACAAGGCCTCAGCTTGGGCAACAACACTGATCCTGCAGACGACAATGCCATCCTTCTGGACAGCGTGGGCGATGCTCCTTGTATTAGCAGAGAGGATCCAAATGACGCTGGCAAACTGGGCAGTGGCGCNGGCGCCAGGGGAGGTGATCTCGGCGATGCCAAACAAGGCCTAAGCTTGGGCGACAACACTGATCCTGCAGACGACAATGCCATCCTTCTGGACAACGTGGGCGATGCTCCTTGTATTAGCAGAGAGGATCCAAATGACGCTGGCAAACTGGGCAGTGGCGCCCCAAGCGCAAAAGGTACCAACGACACCTTCCCAGCTTCTACGGCGCCTAAGCTGCACGTGGAGGCGCTGGCGACGCCCTGGGGCGAGGAGTCACTAGAGACAGCGCCAATTGCGTGGAACCTGTCAGGCAATGCCTTGGGCGGTTGGCGGATCTTGGTGGAAAATCAGGCTGCGCCACCCGACGATCTAGGCTATTGTACAACACTGCCGATGAGGAGTTAGGTATTGACAAACAACCAGGCACTAGGATCCTACAGACAATTGTCTGGCATTGATAGAGGTCAGCGAGTAGCTGTGTCAAGCGGGGCTTAGTCATTTTGGCATTTTCTTGACATTAGCTTTTTGACTTTGTCTTTGTCTTTGACATTGGATTTGATTTTTGGCAAGCACCCACTTTGACAAAGGCATGAAGAAGGATCCTACACTAGATTCACATTGAGGCAAGGGGACCATTGTGGGTGACAGTTCGAAGATAACCTCCATATTTAGTTTAATTGATTGTGATGATGATGTTTCCCACATTGTGTCATCCTATCGTATATCCCCCACTGTCATGTGTCACCGGGTCGAGATGGACTAACCGATGTGCTTCAACTCTTCTGGGGAGATTATTTTTTATAAAGACGTCCTGGAGACGGGACTAAGATTTCTTATTCATGGTTCTATCTATCGGATCCTAGGCTACTTGTCACTCACTCCGGGGAGATTGACCCCGAATGGTTGGAGGGTAATTTTGGCGTTCTTTTCATCATGGCGGTTGGTTCATGGCGAGAGTGCTTCTCCCCTTTTTGAGGAGTTCTTGGCCACATATATGCTTTTAGATAGCCCTACTCCTCATCAAGGTTGGTACCATTTTTCCTCGAGGTCGGGCAAGTTTATTATTGGGCTGCCTTCGAATTGCCATAGTTGAAAATCTAGGTTCTTCTTTATTGGAGGTGGGTGGGCCACTAAGAAAGATCATGACCTTGTGCCTTCGAGGTGGGACACTACTCCAAGGACCAAGTTAGGTAAAGGTTTTACCTTTGCTTTTACATTGACTATTATGTCCCTTGTATTCACTACATGTTNTTTCTTTATTGGAGGTGGGTGGGCCGCTAAGAAAGATCATGACCTTGTGCCTTCGAGGTGGGACACTGCTCCAAGGACCAAGTTAGGTAAAGGTTTTACCTTTGCTTTTACATTGACTATTATGTCCCTTGTATTCACTACATGTTTGGTTCTTTTGCAGCTCCACCCATGTTATATGTGGAGCAAGAGAATAGGCTCCAAGCTATTCGAGATCATCCTATTAAGGAGTTCATGGCCTCCGTATCCGCGGTTGGTCATCCAAGAGCCTCCCCTAGGCAGAAGAGAAAAGGTATTTGATCCTTCCAATACACTTTGATGATTGTAATACNATAGGCTCCAAGCTATTCGAGATCATCCTATTAAGGAGTTCATGGCCTCCGTGTCCGCCGTTGGTCATCCAAGAGCCTCCCCTAGGCAGAAGAGAAAAGGTATTTGATCCTTCCAATACACTTTGATGATTGTAATACTGTAGGTTCTTCGTCTTATACCAGTTCCACAAGTCCAACTGTTGATAGAGCGATGGTGGAGGCTCTCTATGGTTCTTGGGTGGCGTCTTCCCCTCCTCTCAAAAGGGCGAAGGCCGATGCCCCCAGTATCTCTCAGCAGATGGTCATGCTATATCCCGGGAGGCTGGATTTGATGGTGNCTGGGTGGCGTCTTCCCCTCCTCCCAAAAGGGCGAAGGCCGATGCCCCCAGTATCTCTCGGCAGATGGCCATGCTATATCCCGGGAGGCTGGATTTGATGGTGCCCCCATTCTTTCTCAGTACACAGCTCCTTCGAGAGTTGGGGTTAGTCCAACCACTACTTCAGGAGTTGAGAATCCTGTCCGACCTTCCATCGGAACTGGAGCTCCACATTGTTGTCCTAGTTCAAGCAGTGGTTTAGTGTCCATGCTGCAGGACGGGAATCTAGCCAAGGAGGGACTTTGGGGGTTTATGACTGCCACGGATATTAGAGAGGTTGGCTCTCAAGGTCTAGAGTGCATTATCAATACCGCGATGGAGGGGTTTGTCATGGTATGCCTTTCTACTCAACTTTTGATTTTGTACATGCCTCATTTCCCTTATATCTTACTTTTTGAATGCTTGTAGGTGGCTGCTGCTGCTTTTTGCTACTTTTTTTGAAGGACGATAAAGTTTGGAGAGGCATTCAAGGATCTGACGAAAGAGAGACAGACACGAAAGGCTACTGAGGAGCAGTTAAGGCTAGAGAGGCAGACTAACAAAGCTGCAGAGGAGCAGTTGAGGCTAGCTCACGAGAGAGTTGCACCTCTTGAGGTTGAGCTTTTGGTGTCCCGCAAGAGGGCCGCAAAGTTAGATACTGATAAGGAAACTACCTATGCAAGAGCAGAGTTAGAGTTGCGAGCGTCCTACAAGAGAGCCGTAGAAGCTGAGGCCGAACTACGTATAGCTCGGGAGAGTGCTTCCATGGCAGAGGATGACCTGCAAGTAGCTCGTGAGAAAGCCAGTAGAGCAGAGGCTTAATCCATTGAGATGGAGATGTAGAGAGAGGTTGCTGAGAGGGCTGTTGTAGACACTTTTATTAATGGTTATAAAGAGTTTAGGGGAAAAGCCTCAGCAGTTTTCCTTGCTATTGATTTCTCTAGCTTCATCCCATATAAAGCCCTAGGGACAGACGATGATGTGGAGCGCCTTGATGAAAGTGGATCAAATAGCAGTGAATGATCGTCGTGAGTATGACGACTTTTATCTTTTTGTCTACCTTGTTGGTAGGTCATGTTATGACTTTTGTAAGTTGTTAACAAACTTTATATAATGAAAGAAAGACAGCTCTAGACACAATAGTCTTTGTAAAATATTATTTCATAAAATAATATATAACAAAATAAATCAATTGAAACAACAAATAAAATGAACGTTACAGGCTTGTACCCCTATAGTACCTCTTTAGATGTTCGGCGTCCTATGAATAGGCCAAGGCTTCCCCGTTTCCAGTGTGTTGTCATCCCTAGGTTCGAACACTACCATTTAGAGGGTTAAGAAACGGAGAATAAGGTGATAGGTGGACGATACTGCCTTTAAGGTTTAGAGCGCAAGGCGTCCAATGATGATATTATAGGCAGAGGGGTAGTCTAGCATTATGAAGTTCATTATGATGACAGAGCTTCTTAGTGTTGTCCCTACTATAACTGGCAGGGTGATAGAACCCAAAGGATAAGCCCTCTCACCCGAAAATCTGATGAGGTGCGTTCTAATGGGTTACAGTTTTTTACTGCATAGACGAAGATTGTCGTAGGCTAGTGCGAATAGGTGTCAGCAGAGCTACCGTTGTCCACCAAAATTCTCTTAACCTGGTAGTTGGCTACCATCATAGTTAAGACCAGAGGATCATCGTTGGGGAATTGGATCCCCTCGAGGTCCCTGCCTAAGAATGAGATAACTTCTTCTTCCCTGTGCCAGGGCATTTTCATCAGGCGAGGATCATTTGACTTTGCCAATCTAGCTTTCCTAGCATGCGCCTTCCTGACAGAGTTGGAGTCACCTCTTCCTTTTAACCCTCCAGAGATCGTCTAGATGTCTCTGAGGGGTTGCTGGCGCTCTCTGTCATCCTAGTTTCTATTAGACGGTGGGGCTTGTCCTCTACCAGAAACATACTGTCGCAATTGACCACGCTATATGAGCTCCTCGATCTGTCTTTCAAGATCAAAGCAGACATCAGTATCGTGGTCGTGGTCGCAATGGAAGCGACAATACTTGTTCGAGTTCCCAAGTTCGGGGCAATCTTCATTTTCCCCGGCCAGCGTATCATAGAATCATCCTGTATTTAGAACAGAATATGCTCCACCGAAGTATTGAGTGGCGTACAGGCTTGCCACTTTCTCAGAAGTACGGGACCAAGGCGGTCCTTGACAGAGACTCTTTGTCCTCTTCCTTTTGTTCTTTGTTTCTTTCTTGGTCTCGCGGGTATCTTTTCTTTTCTCACCCCCGCGGGAGGATTCACCTCGTCTCGCTTTGGTGACGTCCTCCATATTCATGTACTTTTGTGCTCTTGACAACAGCTCAAGCATGCTAGATAGTGGCTTCTTCAGGACGAAAAACATAAAACTCGAGAAGTGCAGACCCGCAATAAAACGACCAAGGTTACCTTGTCGTCTGGCTCCTTGATATGGAGAGTCTTCTCGTTAAAACGAGTGAGGTAACTCTTCAAGCTTTTATCCACATCCTGCTTGACAGTGAGAAGGTGAGTAATTGGCTTCTGATGTCCACTTCCCCCGATGAAGTGAGAGACGAAAGGCTTGCTTAACTCCACCAAGGAGTGGATGAAAGAAAGTTTGAGCTTGGCGAACCACTCGTGCAAATCCCTTAAGGGTGGTAAGTAAGACTCTGCACATGATCTCGTCAGGCACATTGTACAGCTACATAAGAGACTTGTATGTGTTAAGATGGTCGAGGAGATCCTTAGTACCATCAAAGATCTCCACAGTAGGCATCTTAAATTTTGAGGGTAGAGGGTAGTTAATAACATCCGCCAAAAATGGAGTGTAAGTACGCCTTACCAAGTAATCCATCATCTCTAGCGCCTATACTTTGATGGCGTTGAGGGGCATCGTCAAGCTCGTTTTACACATCCTTAATATTTTCATTGCATTGGTTTCGAACACCCTCAGTCGGATCATGGTAGTAGCTCTCATGATCTGTATACTAGTTCTCCCTGTCCGTCTACTACCCAGGATGGTTGGTAGTGTGTGAGGGTGGAGCAACTACATGAGGAGGAGAAGGAGGAGCATGTGAGGTGCCTGAGCGCTGAGGGGGGACTCCCTAGCAAGGGGCACCCAGGTGTTGTATGGGGGCGCCTTGGCGCCCTGGGTGGAGAGGATGTGGGACCTCCCTTATTAGAGGGAGTGTGGCTCTTCCTGCTTGTTAGGGAGCAACGCCTCCTGAGGCGAGCATCAATTAGAGAATTTGCTAATTTTTGACTCATCAGCAACTGCAAGATTCGCCGCAATTGATGGTTCTGTTAGGAAATTTTCACGAAATTTCCAAACCTATTAGAAACAAAAATAGAGAAAACACGCCAAAGAAAATTAATCACACGCACAAGACAGTATTTACGTGGTTCGACAATTTGCCTGCATCCACAAAGCTGCAGGGATTTTACTATTGAG